GATCCAAAAAAATTAAAGCTTGATTCAAAGTTTGGTGAAAACAAGAGAATCCTTGAGACACAAGTGGTGCTCCAGCACTTCATGAACATAAACCGTTCTGGTAACAGCCAGCTATGCCACCATTTGGCGTGAATATCGCCACAAATGTACCTGCAGAGACAGTGTGAAAACGTCCCTTTTCCCAACAAAGTGATGACATTTTGCCCCAGCTGCACATTTGCCTTCTTGCACCAAAGATCATTCAGGGATTATTGCAAATTATGAATGTACAGGAGCAGTATAAGGCCACCGGGAGCTGTAGGTGCTTTATTAGTCTAATGGTTAATCAGCACAACCCATGATGGCAATTTAGGTGTATAATGGCATCTCATCTAGGCCTTATTGTAGCATTAGAGTGCTCCTGCCCATGATTTATTGGTTCATCAGAACAGGCTTCGGGTTCTTTCCAAAATCGTAGTCCTGTGATTCTTCACAAAACACCTGAGCAATGTAATAACAGATCTATAAATACCTAACATTATATATTAATGCTGTCACTCCAACATATCTGCCTATGTTGAAACAATTTGTTTCGCAATAGAGAAGTGCATTTACTTGAATATTATTTCCCATTGGCTTCTTTTCCATGGCTTGCGAGCCATGTGTTATATTATTTTACGCTACCGTGATTGATGTGTCATAAAATAATGCAAAAGTAATGAAAGTGCCATACCGATGAGAAATAGAAAGAAATGAAAAAATATCACAATCAAATGAATTTTCAGTGTGTTCCTGAAAGGGGATTTTTTTTAAAAAAAGCATTTTCTATTTCATTTTTACAATTCGAAGTCAATACAAATTTACACGTCCAGAGTTGTGCCAGAACAATTCCCATTCCCTTGGTGACAGGGGCTTCCTGCTTGTTCTGCCGCTGAGCTCTTGGGGTGGCACAGCAACCTCACTCACTTCTCTTTAATAAATGGTTCGAAGGGGCGGAGGGACACCAATTCCAGTCAGATCTGCTCAGCCACAGGCAAATGTGGTGAACTCTCTAAGCTGAAGGATGGCCTGCACATTGTCTATCTGCTATCAGAGAGCGTTCCCTTTACTTCCACTGCCGTCTTTTAGGGAGGAAAAGCTCATTCAGGTCTCTGACGGTTTTCCAGGACAGTTCTTGTGCAGGGAAGGTGATATTTTAGATAAGTACCCAACCTGCAGTAGAAAAGCAATATAACATCTTCAGGGCTAAAACCATCCTTGTGAACATCTCCGGTTTCTGGAAAGGCTGGCTTGAGATCAGAGCTAGTTCTGTAGTAGACAGTTTCCACTGCAATCTACTGAGTGAAACACTGAATTCCATATAAAGCCTTAGCGTAGCTGCTGATAACACTTGTCTGTAAGTAGGTACTTTTATGTCCTTTCCATGGTGGCTCATTTATTTCTCTCTCTTTGGACGTGATCATGAGCTGGTTGACCAGGAGCGTAGTGTGGGATAAAGTAAAACAGTATCCATTTTTAATACCATCTTTGAAAAATAACAATATGTTATCAAATCTGGAAGCCAAATTCACAAAACACAGAGCTCAACCAGGACAGGTGTTTTCCTGATTAACTTCCTGTGAAATGCTGCTGATTTCTAATACTACAGCGTGCTCCCCAAGCAAGGACAGGGTGCGAAAGCAGGAACGATCACGTATTTGTTGAGTGCTGAATTTGAAAGTTACCCGCCTTTCCCGTTAGCTGCTGATCTGTTTTGGGGTCAAACCCTAATAAGCCTTTTGTAACAAATGAACCCTGGCGGCAGACGGGGCCGTCTGTGGTTTACAGAGTAGCTGGAGTGGCAGCATTCCTGGATTTCTGCAGCTGTGGAAAGTGGGAGACTCTGCAGTGCAGTGGTACTGACACGTCCCAAAGAAACAGCCAAAGGGAAGCGTTGAATGAGACATCACCTATTTGCTAAAATTCTATCATTCAAATTCACATTGCTATTCTGCTAACCTCTAACCCCTAAAATAATTCTTTACTGCAAGAACTGCGTGGTGCAATTACATACAGATCACCCGAATTGTTATATTTCCTTGACTTAGAAATGTGAAAGGGGGATGAAAGTGGATAACTATCTGATTAGCTTGCACTCACAAAAGGCAGCATTAAGTTCACATAATATCTTCCACTTAGGGCTCTTCCTTGAGTCATAACTGAAGTTACTAATATGGTATTTTAAATCTGGAAAAGAAAGGGGATGCTTTGTGCATTGCTGCATAAAGGAAGAGTAGAGCTGGAATGGGTGACCCATAAGGTCCTTTCCATTCTTGAATTCCTAAAAAAATGGTAAGTTGCCTTGAATGGAAAAATAAAAGTATTCTTGCTATGAAGGTACAGGAAGAATAGGATTTGAGGTTTTAAAACCAAACTTTTCTGAATAAAAAGTGTAATGAATGCAACCCACACCTGTAAAATACACATTTTTTGTAGCATCTTTTTGTGAAGAAAAAGTAGCCTTGAACCTTACACATGGTAGTAAATTACCAGAAAGTTACCTATACTTAAAATCTGGTGCTAGCCCACAGGTGAAGAGGTTGGAGAGGAAGCTGGCTTGCCCGTCAGACATAGGTGATATGTGCCAAGTACGAGATGTTTTTGCAGTGAAATCCATCTTACCTTTAAATAAACCAAGGGTCGTCTTTCACTCTGTTTTCCCTCTGTGTATCTGAAAAGTGCTGAAATAGAGGAAAAGGAAGGTTATAACGCTCTCAGAAATAATTTAAAAGAATAAAAGGAGAGTAAGACTAATAATTACAGCGAAATGTTCCAGGATGTTTTATTCACTTAGCACAAAGGGTAATAAGAGCAGATGCTGTTCCAGTCCTTACAATTCTTTAGCTCGTATCGATGTACAATGAAAAGAACAAAAGATAATTAATGGCCTACAAAGAGGACACTCGTAGTAGTAAGCTGATGCCTTAGCATCCATCTTCACATTGATCAATATTGGAATCTATAACTTCACCAGTTGTTTTACGAGGCCTTTAAAAGAAGGGACACAGAATTATCAAGATCATAAAAAACCGTATTTCATTCTTTTGTGGCTATGGCCTCATTATTCTGCCTGGGAAAGGGCACTGCGATTCCTCTGTGCCATAGCCCGTTCTGAAGAGGAAGGTATTTGTGTTATTTTTCAGCTGCTGTGGTTTGTCTCAAGCAGAAGGGCCCTTCCCTAGGCCAGCTGGCCCACACAAAAAAATGTCCTCCTGCCCTCTTGGCCGGATGCTCCGGGCCATGCAGAGCTGCCAGGCTGCGACAAACCAACCCAGTACACGCTCTGCCTGGGCATGATCTGAACCAGCTCTGCTCCAGAGCAGCCTGGGTGTCCTCCAGCAGTGCTCTGCCTCTCTCACAGGTGTCCTATGGAGCACAGTTTTTCCCCAGCTGCAGTGATGTGGTTCAAGCACCAGCTTTGGATGTTGGGTGGGTAGAGTGTGATGGTTCACATCACATGGATAAGGTCACTGGTTCCTCCGCTGCACACAGGTCCTAGCAGGCACTGTGTAACTTTTAAATAGCTAAAGCATATGAATGGTTCTATAGGTAGACCAAAACCACAAGCTTAGACTTATTTCTTGATAGCTGGAGTTAGGTGATATGAATCCTATGGCTGACATAGCAGGATTCGGAGTGCAGGAAGCACTCAGGATGAAAAATGGGAGAGGGATGTGAAGGTATTGTTGCTAAGAAGGGCAAGACTGGAAATTTTGCACCGGTTCAAAGCAGTGCTGCCCTGAGGGTGATGCATACTCATCTGGTGCAGGAGACGGAAACAGTGGGCTCTGCTTTGAGCCAGCTCTGCTGTGTGTGTGCTCAGCTTGAGTGTCTCAGCTCCCCTTGACTTATTCCAGAGCATGGGTTGGCCTTGGCTGCTATTTCCCAGAACCTGGCATGGTGAGATGCTGATCTCAGGCCCTGCAGTAATGTGGCTTTACTGCATTTACAAAAGCCAGAGGAAGCTCCATCACATCAGAAGAGACCAGTCTCTTCCTTGAATTGGCTCTGAAAACCTGCACACCTGCCCTGCACTAGGACACACGACAGATTTTGGTCTGCAGTCTTGTGTGCCGTGGTTGTTGCCAGCTGACAGCACTTGCATCCATATCTGACAGATTCTGGGCTCCAGACGTCACAGGTGTGAGATCAGGAGGTGTGAGAAGGCAATTTCAGATATTTTTAGATGTTTTGAAAACATACAAAAATCCTATCTCCTCTACTCAACTCCACAGCGGTCATACACATTACACAAAAAGGCACATGTAGATGATGGGAGATGTGCTGTTCTGTGATATTAAATCAGTGTCAAAGGGATGGTTGTGCTAAGACCAGACCCTTACCTCTTGCCACCTCCACCTCAAGCTCAACAAACACTTCCTGAGGTGCTCCTTTTCCTTGGAAATGCAAGGTTCTTCTAAGTCTTTTGCTCAAGTAAATCCTGTGTTTCTCAGATTCTTTGCACAAAGTGTGTTCAGAAATCAATGTACATAATAAAATAGAGCCTGAAAGGCCTCCAGGCTGCCATCTAACACTGTCATGCCTGCGTTGCTTCAGCACACATGAACAACAGCACGCAAAAGCAAACACATTTCATACAGAAAGGACAGAACCTGTCCCCTCAAGGAAGACTCCTTCAAACCATTAAGATCCAGGCCCCAGCACACTTGAACCTAACTTTTAAAGCTAACTCCTCAAATTGTGCTATTTGTTTGGTTTTGAGGGCAATTACTGCCTCAGGCAGGGATAGCAGCTTTCCCTCTTGACCCTTGGGATTATGCCCTTCCACTGACCAAGCAGAGGTGGTGCAGGTAACATGTAAATCAAATGTGGACAATCCTCAATAACAGATCAACATGTGAGAGCCAATTTGCTTTGCTATTGCCTAAGGGACTTGCCAAAAAATTTGAATCATTTCTTCATAGAGGAGGTGAGAAGAAAACAGAAAAATTAATCTACGTGCATTTTGTTTTCTTTTCCAGGTATCTCCATCATCTACCCTTCTTGATGTGAAACACAAATTTCACAAAGCATGTAAGTACTACGGCGAGCAGGCTGGAGGCACGGTCAGAGGCCTTTCAGCTCGGAGAAACCGTCCTATTTATTTTTCATGAGATCTCACACGAAAGCCAAGAGTGGCCTGACAGCCCTGGTGCTAAATTACAGCAGTGTTTGGACTAAGGTTGTACTGTAGTCATCGCAGATGTGAGAGGCTGGGAGGAGAGGACTGCATAATTTATCACTGCCAACCCATCCTCTTTTTATCATTGCAGTTCTCTTTTTAGCATTACATTTAATGTTTCTATCCTGTTTTGAACATTACACTGCCAATTCAAGACCACAACTGCATTTGCCCTCCCAATACTATATTAGATAAGCTTTGATAACATTAGACTGCTTCAAACGGACCATAAACAGACCAGGGAGCTGGGTGGAAAGCTGGGAGAAAGAGCAATGAACATAACCAAGCACCAAAGGTTGGTGGTATTTACCTTTATCCACTGAATTACTGGGTCAGGGGCCAAATAGGCCTGAAAACTACAAGATGTATATGTGTGTGTAGTGTGCCTTCAGTTCTGAAACACTAAAATACTGTGGTGTCTGTGTTTGTAGAGGTTCTGACTGTGCCACACTTGCTTTTACACTGAGAAATGTTTCTCCCACTCCTGCCTGTGGAAGTAAGGTGCTACTTGTGATGAGGACCAGTAACCTCGAGTGTCATCTTCGTTTGAGATGTGCAGGTCTATGCAAAGTATTTAGTTGAGTACAAAAAGCATGCAACAAGAACTGAGGTCTGGAAGTGAAGGCCAGAGAAACTCAAATTAGGAATGAGGTATTTGGTTCCAAGAGGAAGGATGGTTTACTGCCAGAGTGAGCATCTTACACCATGGGCTTTCATTATTCTTACAGAAAAGGGTGTATTCAACCTAGGGCTGGATGCCTCTTGCAGGGCGAAATAAAAAAAGCATTGGTCAGACAGTGAGTTCAGAGTAGGGTAGGTAGAAGAAATACCATGCTTCTCCATCCTTAGCATTTTATAAAACACGGAAGTTGAAGGCTTCTGTGGTTGTGCAAAGGTTCAGTTGATGAAGCAAATGGCTGCTGACCTGACAGCTCCCAAACTCCTTTTTTTCACTCCCTGTAAGGGCTTGTGAAATGCAGAATGGTAAAAGTTGAACAACTCCACAGCTGAATATAGAAAGACTTGAGTGCATAAGATTTAGTATTTTAATAAGAGTATGGCCTCCCCTCAGTTTGGGAAATGTAGTGCATTTCTGCCCAGACTCTCTTAAATCAATTGAAACTGGATTTATATTGATGCAGCTTTAATCAGCTGAAGATCACTGGCACAGAGGTTTATGCCAATTTAACTATAATGAAGTTTTAAATGGATTTGGGCTAAAATGGTGCAAGCCTGTGTACAAGCCATTTTCATGGCGCTGGTTTTCATACTCAGAGGTACCTTACTACTCCTCCAGTACACGCAGTGGTGCAAGAGGAGCTGAGTATAAAGGAAACCAGAGAGCAATACAAAGAAGTGTGGACCGAATCGTGACAGTTCAGAGCTTTACAGCACAGGAAAGGGCTGGTGTTTGCCTTCAGTACTTTTTCATTCTCATTTTCTTAGCTCAGCTCCCCCTGTTTCTGGAGTGTGCCCCATGAGTGTCCTCCGTCCTTTCTTCCCTTTCCACCCATTGCTCTGATCTCTCTTTCCCAGTCCAGCCTGGATGTTGTTGCCTCGTGAGGTTCCTCCCTCCTCCTCCCTTCCCATTTCCAAAGAGCAAACCTTCCCTTTTCTTCTCTTCATACGGTTTTGGGGATGACAGCTTACAGAACACAGTTGTTTTAGGCAAGAGCTGAGCAGGGCCTGAAGCTGATCTGTGGATGCCTTTGGTTCGTGTGCTATTTCATGTTCATGCATTCATTTCTGTCATTATATGTGTGCCAGGCTCATGTGTTCCCCTGTAATCTTGAGCTAAAACACCCTCCTACACACACCCCCTTACAGCCGCTCTGTCTTCATGCATCCTGCTTTGATCACCCATGCAATTAAGCTTTCTCCTTGGCTGGTATCTTGTCAGCCCTTCAGGGAGAGGAGTCCCCGTGCAGTAATTTCACAAGCATCATCCCTGTCACCTGATGGGCTTTCAAGAAAGGAGGAAAAAGACTGAATTATGAACTGCAGCACAGGAGCCTGTTAATCTCTGAAATAAAAGAAATGGGATGCGAGTGACACGTAACATGTTACTGCTCAGTAGTTTCTAAGTCAGTCAAGCATTAGTTTGGGTCCGTGATTATAGAAAAGGCAGAATATGGATGTGGTACAACCAGGGCCAGCACAGAGCCACGGTTTCCCTGTTCAGCCTTCAGCTTTGCAGGGATTTCTGTAGCAGATGTTCTATCCGGGCTGTCACACTTAATAGCAAACATCACACCTGCCCACCGCGAACCCGTCTAATCCTTTTTAAACCTGTGGATAGTCTTGACCTCAGCAAAACCCTCTGGGAAGGAGTTCCTTAAACTTAAGTATGTTGTGGAAAAATTACATCTTTGGTGGCATCATACAAATGTTTACACCAGTTCTGCTTGATGTTTCCTGCCTAAAATTGGGTGGCAGCTGAGTGCCTGTGTGTTAATGTCCACCACGCTGTGCTATCTAAGGTAAGGTCAAAGAAACCTCAACGAAATTGGTGCTGTTTAGGTAACTTTACTACTATTTTCCTCATACCTGTGGCTAGCTGGTGGGGGTGAAACCAAGCCAAAAACTGTACAAGAAGGAAGCCTCTTGTCCCACTTTCTCAGTTGCTTACAATGAGTTAGGTACCTGATATTTTTGTTATCTGTAAGGATGATGTTTTCAGTGGGGAAAGAAATACTTTGGAGACTAAACTTTGCAAGCTCTTGTCCTTGGCAATAACTCTTCACCTTTAATTTATTTTTATCTTTGCCAAATGTATTGGACTGGTGGGGGAGGAAATCTCACAGACAGAAAATGAAAATGCTAATTCAGGTATTACATAAGTAAAATAAAATACCTCTAGAACAGGTAATATAGTGGAGCCAGTGATCATTAAATATTTTCAAGGTTACTGCACAAGAGTTGCTTAAAAACTGTTGAAAGTAGAGGAGGAACAGAAAGGGTAGGGGAGGAATAAGATCTCAGCTCCAAAATTGCAGCCCCCCTCCATCTAAGCTAACAGATGTTACATAGGGTATTGAAAATAAGCAATATCAATGAAAGTATATCATTAAGAAAGAAATTGTCAGTAGATGGCACTCAAGAATAAACAGCATCATTTCTGGACACTGAATCTTTACAAGTCTGCTGTACCATCTTACAACTGCTTCTTGCAGGGTTTTATACAGCGATCCTAAGAGCTCCGTTCCCTGGAAAACCAGGGATGTCAGACCAGATCCTTTCTGTTGCTCTCGTCCATAGAGAAGACAAGGAGAAAAAGTGCAATTCCTCCTCCATGTCTTCCATCTTCCCTTCTCAAAATGACCTGGGACCGCCTCCAGCTCCCTTCTCCCCCCGTCTGCCTGTCAGTGGTGCTCAGCTCAGGCAGTGCCCAGCAGCCGGAGCAGCATTTTAAACCCAACAGGTTCTTTTTCGCCCAAGACCCTGAAGCAGGGCTGCAATACACAGAGCAGCAGAAGCCAGGCTGGCCTGGTGAAGAGCAAGGAGGAGACTCTCTCATTGTGTAATCTCACAAGCCAAGGTAACTAAACACAAGGTAACTAAAACCAGTCCTTTAGCTGAGGAGATCCTCTTTCTTTTCTCCTTTCCAAACCGTTTGCTAAGGGTTTTCACACTCTGAATCTGAAACTTTCCATCTGAGAGCTAGCAGCATGATTACAAGAGCGATGGCTTAAGGAATAACTCCAGATTTTGCCAGGCCCGCCCTAAAACACAAGAGTTGGGGGCAGAGCGGCTGCTGGAAAGGACAACTGCTCGTACTGCACCACGTAATTCCCTTCTAGAGGACAGCTGTGACGTTAAACTGCGAGAGGTAGGAGAGGCTGCTGCGGGGATGAGTCATTAGAAGGAGCACCAGGGAGACTGGGGGCTGTAAGGCAGTGCCTTGCCTACTGGCTGCATGTAATCAGGACTGGCTGATAACACCGTCTTGCTGAGAACCTGCAGTTCCTCTGATTTTTTCACACTGTCTATTACAGCTGGAGTCTCAGGTTGAAGAAAGTTAATGAAATCTGTCAATTTTGATGCCTGGAGAGGCTCGTGTGCCTGATGAATACACCTGCTGGGGATGCAGAGAAGCTGAATTATGCTATTTATGGCTCTCCCAAACTGACTTCATAGTCTTGGCCTGTCACTCAAAAAGGAGCCCTTCATGTGTCTCACAGACCGAAGAGACCCAAATAAGTTATATCTAGGGCACAGAGCCTTCCAGAGGAATCTTTCTTCTGCCCTATATTAGGAGATGAGTCTTTGAAAAAGCCAACATTTTGGAAAGAGGGCCATGATCTTATAATGCCTTACGTCGGCTTCAGCCGGAAGGGGCCCCCCGGCAGAAAAGCAGCTGGCAAAAAAATGGTTTCTGACAAATCTCACTCTCTTTCCTCCCTGTTTTCATCCCAAGTAGTTCACGGCAGCCCACAGTCGCAGCTTGACTCCAGATATGAGTGGCTTTTCAAAGGGACAGGCGGTATCCTGCTGCGCAGGCTGGCTGACTGCAGAGCGCATTGGGTTGGCAGTCACATCCTGCTATTGTTTTCAATAAATTTCCCATCTCCGCATTCATAACAACTCCATTCAAAATTAACAATGAAGGCGAATCACCAGGGATGGGCAGTTATTGCAAATGGGCGCTAAGAAGTACAGTGATTTCATCTGGGTAAATTGATCATTCATCTGTGCTGACTTTGTAAATGAAAATGACTACATTAGGAGGAAGCATCATGAGAGATCATATTATATTTATAGAGATCATATTATATTTATAATTTTTTTCGGTTGTTTTAGTCACACAGCAGACAGCAAGAGAAGAGCAAGAATTTCTCTGTCCCTCAAATGA